TGGTGAAAAAACGACGGAAGCTGTAGCGAAGACTGGCGAAGATGGTAAGAAAGGTTTACATTTTCATTCGTATGCACAGTTTCATAACACTTTGATTCTTTATGTAAGTATTCTTCTATATTAGATAGACATGTGGCACAGATGTTTATTTTTTGTTCGAAGTATATATTTCATTTGATCCCCTCTTTTTTAAATCTTATATTACCATATATCTTTTACAATGCACAAGGAATAAATATAATCATCGAAAGGAAAATCTTATATTTTTTTTACTACACGGAAGTGTGTACCAAACTGGTATAAAAAGCAGATGCRGACGAAAGATGCAAAATAGACATGTTTTAAAATTCATTTCGATTACTTTAAAATCCCTATTGCATATATTGTCATCAGTACCTGACGCAACACCAGTCGTCACTGACATCTCTCCAGTCAGATATGATACCATGAAGGTCACGTGGTCATCTATACCAGAAGATCAACGGAACGGTATCATCAGAGGCTATAAAATATACTACAAAGAATTGCTGTACCCTAGAAACAAATGGAAAGTGTCTGTGGTTACCGGAGGTGATGTATCCAGTACGATGGTGACTGGACTAAAGTCATACACTGAGTACTGTGTTAAGATGTCTGCCTTTACCAGTAAAGGAGAGTATCGTGACTGRGGACGAAAACAATGCAAAATAGTCAAGAGTAAGTAGAATTGTCTTTAAAACTGCGCTATAAAAATATTAAATGAAAAAAACTGACTTGGAAAATAAAAGTTAAATCAAACTCAAATCCTTTTCTATTCACATATCACCATTGCCCTTAGTTAAAGTTCCTTGTTTCCATTGGACGCATTAAAACTTCAATTAGGTGTATATTATCGAAGCTAAAGTGCTCATCTGATCAAAAGAATGGTAACTCAAATAAACATATTATTTATTTTTTAATTGTAAACGCCAAAACGTGATCGTTTGACAAGTGGGTGGCATGCTTTGTTTAGAGTCAGTTTTATTCTCTCGCTGTTCTCCTCGAAGCCTGTCTTTAAGTGATTAATGTATAACAAAATACTTTCAAATACTTCGAGTTTGTTTTCTACAGTTCCTTCGCTTCCTATCAAAGTACAAGCTAAGGCCATGAGTATGACAGAAGTACTTTTGAAGTTCGTGAAACCAGTGCACTCGTTTCCATCCAATAAAGTGCAAGTGGATTACGGAACTCTGAAAAACGAGTTGAATATGAAAAAAGCCTGCTATGGTTCTTCTTGTGTGATTGATAACCTTGAGCCAGACACCATGTACTACTTCAGGGTGATTGGATATGTGTACCAGAGAGGAGAAACCTCAACACTCACTAAGATAAAGACATCAAGAGATGAGGTAATGATGCTTTACTGTCTTTGTTACTCTCTTTTTTGCCCTTTTTAGGAATAAGGAAATTTGATAATGCRAAAAAAATCATTACTGGGCTTCTACTTCATCTTATATTATAATCATCTTACGGTCAAGAAAGACCTAGATACAAGTCCTAATAGATACACAGTGTACTGTGTTAAGGACATGTCCTTGGATAAAAAATTACGCATTCAGTTCATATTGAATAATGAACCATTTTCCATGGCAGGAGTTTTCCAAGTGGAATTAAAGTCTTGTCTTACAAGCAAGCAGAAAAAAATCAGTTTTCGAGCATGCTAAAAACTAGGTTCTAAGAAAATTCGTCTTTGTATTCTCATAAGACTAGTAAAACCCTGAACTAAATGT